TCTGTGCCCTCCCGCCCTCCCGCGGGGACTGGGGAGCGGCCCCGTTAACACCCCCTTTCTTTTCAAGGCGGAGCTCCGGGCGGCCGTGTTCTTAGCGCTAGAGGAGCAAGAAAAAGTGGAGGTACGACGTCCGCACCCTGGATGGTGACCCCGGATGGCTGCGAACCGCCCGGAGCGCTGCTGGCTGCAGTGTGGAAGGAGGGGGGTCGGGGGGCGGGGTGTAGACGGGGTGCTTGTGAGCAGAGGGCTGCGCCTCTTTATTCCAGGAAACAGTGTTACTGGCGCTGCACGGGGCATTGCCGGCTTCGGGAGCGCCGCGGGGGCAGGAGGCCGGAGGCCAGCGCCGACTCTTGATGGTTTGGACCAGCGGTTCTCAACCTTCCTAACGCCGCGACCCTTTAATACAGTTCCTCATGTTGTGCCCCAACCATAAAATTATTTTCGTTGCTACTTCATAACTGTAATGTTGCTACTATTATGAATTGTAATGTAAATATCTGATATGCAGGATGGTCTTAGGCGACCCTTGTGAAAGGGTCGTTTGACCGCCAAAGGGGTCGAGACCCACAGGTTGAGAACCGCTGCTCTAGAGCAAAGTCACCCAAGCCTGAGTGTTGCTGACGTCACTGAGTGGAATCGACCACCCTAGCAAGGCCCTTCCACCTCACTCTTTTGAAATCTTTATTGTTGAAAGTACTCATATGTCCCCTTTTCCCCATGGACCCCCTCCAGCCCGCCCCCGCTCTGTTGTGTGTCCGTGGGTGATGCACTTGTGCACACAAGGTCACTTGTCTTTCTCTGACTGGCTTATTTCACTTAGCACAATCCTCTCCAGGCCCCTCCATGCTGTCTCAGAGGGTAAGAGGTCCTTCCTCACTGCTGCATAGTATCCCATGGTGTAGATGTACAACAGCTTTTTACCCACTCACCTGCTGGTGGGCACGTGGGCTATTTCCAGATCTCAGCTATTGTAACTTGTGCTGCTGTGAACACAGGGGTGCACACATTCTTCCTGAGTGGTGCTTCCGGTTTCTTGGGACATATTCCTAGAAGTGGGATCACTGGGTCAGATGGAAGTTCCATATTTAATTGTTTGAGGGAACTCCGTACTGTCTTCCACATTGGCTGCACCCGTCTGCATTCCCACCAGCAGTGCACGAGGGCTCCCTTGTCTCCGCATCCTCGCCAGCACTTGTCCTATGTTGATTTGTTGATGGTAGCCATTCCGACAGGTGTGAGATGGTACCGCATTGTGGTTTTAATGTGCATCTCTCTGAGCATCAGTGACTTTGAGCATGTTTTCATGTCTCTTGGCCACCTGTGTGTCCTGGAGAAGTGTCTGTTCAGGTCCTCTGTCCACGTTTTGATTGGATGTTTGCCTTCCTTTTGTTGAGTTGTGTAAGTCCCTATGTATTTTGGAGATGAACCCTTATCTGACGTATCGTTGCCACATCTGTTTCCCGTGCAGCTTCCACCTGACTCCTGACCGACACCTTGTGTCTCTGGGGGAACACGGGGGCGTCAGGTCCTCTCGGTGTGTCCTCTCCGAGACAGGGCTCCCCTGTGCCCACGCACCTGTGCCTGCCTCCTCCCGCCAGTGGGGAGGCTCTGCCAGCTGCACAGCAGCCTGCCCTGGGCTTGCCTCGCGCCGTCTCCGCTCGCCCTGCTGCTGGCTCGCCTCTGGAGCAGGACCCGCTCTGCTTGCCCTCTGACAAGTTTTGAATGAATGTGTGTCTTACACTTGTTCTCATGCTCCAGGTCCCCTGTAACCCATGGGCACCTGTAAGTCCATCCCTCCTGCACTGAGGCCCTGTCTTTGCTGCGGTCAAGAAGAGTCCTAATTGGGTTTTTCTTGGCTCTGACCTATCAGGGACTCTGTGGCACTGGACGTTAATTCCTCTTTCCTTCCTGAAACTCTTTGACTTTGGGAATGTTTCTGTTCTGTTTTCTCTTGATCACTCCTTGGGTCCTCGGCGTTCACTCATGGAGCCTCGGGGCGGCGTCCCAGAGCTGTCATCTGTGCCTCTGCCCGAACCCTGACCACACCAGCAGCTGTGGCTCGGCTCTCCCGTCCGTGTCGCCTCCTGAGCTTCAGACCTGTGTGTCCACTGCCCGCTCGCCGGGTCTTACTTGCAAGGCTGTTCGTCAGCCAGAAATCTGCGAGGCCCTGCTCTTCCTCCCGCCTGGGCCGCCTGGCTCTCTCAGTTCTGTGCGGAGGCTGAGGAGGGCTCGGCCGCCCGCTCAGCTTAGTTAGTTCCGGTCCAGGTTGCTTTGCCCTCCCTGCTCCTCTGCTGTCCCTCGTCTTCCTGAAGCCCTTTCTCCTCATTGCTCCCAGTGGCTGTTTGTAGGACATGTTCGATCTTACGCTTCCATTTCTGTAAATATTTCAGTTGATCTTAAAATCTCCTACTCTAGCCTACTTGAGTGCCTTTGTGATCTTCACCCTCCTCGAGTTTTTGAGTATTCTTAAAACTTGATTGAGGTATAGCCCTGGCTGGTTTGGCTCAGTGGATAGATCGTCGGCCTGTGGCCTGAAGAGTCCCAGGTTCAGTTCTGGTCAGGGCACATGCCCGGGTTGCGGGCTCCATCCTCAGTAGGGCTTGTGCAAGAGGCAGCCGATCGATGATTCTCTCTTATCGTTGATGTTTCTATCTCTCCCACTCCCTTTCTCTCTGGAAAAAAAAATGATAATGATCATACCCATGACTTTCAGAAGTTTCCTCCAGCACCCTGGCCAGCTGGCTAGTTAGTTGGAGTGTAGTCCCCACACCGGAAAGTTGCCGGTTCAGTTCCCAGTCAGGGTGTGTACCGGATGCAGCTTACCGATGTTTCCCTCTCACATTGATATTTCTCTGTCTTTCTCTCTCCCTCTCTAAAGTCAGTAAAAACGTGCTTGGTGAGGGTTAAAGATAAAAAGGCTTCTCAAGCCCCTGCACACCCTCTTGGGGTCCCCCACCGCACCTCCAGCCTGGGCCACCAGGGCTCTGACAGCGAGGCCATGGGACTCGCCCAGCACAGACTCTCCTTGCTTTGTGTCTGGGTCTGGCTGCGTTCACTCGGCATAAAGACTCGTTCACGGGGCCGCTGGTTTCCCTGTCGTGTGGGGCTGTATGGGCGTCTGCTCAGTCACTCACCTGTCGGTGACGGTGGGTTGTTTCCAGCTTTCAGCTCATAACCAAGCTGCGGGGACCGGCCCTTTCCTTGCTCTTGAGGAGATCCCTCGGCGGGGGTCACATGGAGGGAGGCCTCTTCACTTTGTAAAACGTGCCCGACAGGGCTTCCGTAGAGGGCCACACCGTGTGCCTGTAACTGCTCTGCGTGCATTAGCTCTGATGTGCTAGACGTGGTTTTTTATTTACTCAAATAAACGTCGAATGAGAAAAATCAGTTGGCCTACGCACTACAGAAAGTCATGTGACCTGCTACAGCTGGACTGCAAATGGCAAGTGGGTCGTAAATGGTTGATGGCTAAGATGACAGTATCAAATTCATACAGTTGAAATAATAGTTTTTATAAGTGTTATTTCACATGAGTATTTGAAGATCTGGCTTCTAAAGTACTTGAGTCAGCAATTTGTAAAACTTTAAAAATGACTATAAGTCTTCATGTATGGCTTTGTTTTATTAACTTTGAGATATTACTCAATAGCACAAAGCAGTTCTTTTAGTGACCAATAGTCATGGAATGGGATTAACCATAATTGTATGAGTGACAATATTTTACTTACATCTTTGCCAAAAAGTTATACTTTAATCCACATTTTGTAGTTGTTGTCATCATAAACACATGACACTTACAGTATTTTATTTTTTTAACAGAACAAAACTCCTTTAGTCAACGAGAGCCTGAAAAAGTTTTTAAATACGAAAGATGGTAAGAGGTTCAGCTCTTCTTGTTTATTTTGTCTGTAAATTTTCAAATCGTGACTCTATTTGGGAGAAATCAGGGATTTCAGATCACTTTTTGGTGTCTGTGATCCTTATAGGTCCTTATTTCTTAAAAGGAGATTTTATTGGACTGCTGTTAGTTGCTTTACTTACCATTGGTCCGGGGATAAAACCAGCTTTACTGTAAGAGGCAGAGCTGTCCTGTGAAGTGTCACAGTGTCTCCCTGATGGTTGCTGCCAGACCTAGGGTCCCAGTGAGGCTCTGGGGAGACCGGTTTCCGTCACTTAATTGTACGCGGCAAAGACTAACCCTTGCTTAAACAATGTAGAAACTTCCCTCCCATTAGTGCGCCTGTCCTGTCTCAATGTCAGGAGGCTCAGGCGTGAAGGCTCGCTCACCGCCTCTCTTGCCCGCAGGCCGGCTGGTGGCCAGTCTGGTGGCAGAATTTCTCCAGTTCTTTCATCTGGACTTCACCTTGGCCGTTTTCCAGCCTGAAGCTAGCACAGTAAGAATGGTTTTCACCTCACCTTTGAAGCCTTTGGCACGATGAGCTCGTGAACAGCTGAAAGTTAACACTTGACAGCTGTCGTGTCTTGCATGAAGATGCTGTTGTAGCGCCCTGGTTTTCTTAAGCGTCACCCGTCATCGAGCTGGCAGCGGGTCCTAGGGCCCCTGCTGTACTTCACTGGGAGGGAGTGTTGTGGTAAAGTCGACTTGCTCTGTTAGACTGTAGCTGTTAATGTGGAGACTGGTGAACGAAATAAAAAAAGTAAATATCCTGACTCTTGCATTTTCCATATGCAGAATTCCAAATATAAACTTGCTGATGTTGTGGCATTGTATTTTATGTGTTTATGTCACACACGTGAGCAACTGTGCTTCCTGTGAAAAAAGTGTCATTAAACGGTGTGGGTGTCTGAGGCCTCTGTTCCGTTCAGTGAGTGCATATTTGGGAGTGAGCTCAGTGGGGGGAATGGGGCTCCATGGCCACCTTCAGCCCCCCCCCCCAAATATATAGATGTAATTTTTAGAAATGGACATTTCATTCATTAGAAAAACAGTCTCTGAGTTTAGAAAGATGTCTAAGCACTGAAAATATTTTTCTTTAAGCTCTGAGTAAATAATCTTGTTATATATCTGTGCACTTATAGCTTACTTTTACATCTTATTTCTTCCTAGTTTCAAGGTCTGGAAGGTCGAGAGAATTTAGCCCGGGACTTGGGTATCATTGAAGCGGAAGGCACTGTGGGTGGACCCTTGCTGTTGGAAGTGATCAGGCGCTGTCAGCAGAAGGAGAGAGGGCCCGCCCGTGGGGAAGTAAGTGCAGCCTGTGCTTTGTTGCCTCCTGGTTGGTCACTGTGCCCCCTGCAGCCCCGCCTTCGTGCAGGGAGTCGGTGTAAGTAAGAGACTTTTCCTTGGAAACAAAGTGACACACTCAGATCGGTTAAGTGCACGTTATAACAAAAACTGGAAGTGTGGGTGCTCTGAGGCCGCCGCCTCTGTTCTGTGGATAGATCCTGCTCCCCGCTGGCTAGTGGCACCTCCCACTGACTAGTGCTAACTATCCTTTCTGACTAGTGCTCACCTCCCACTGACTAGTGCTAACCTCCCTGCTGACTAGTGCTAACCACCCTTTCTGTCTAGTGCTAACCTCCCTGCTGACTAGTGCTCACCATCCTTTCTGACCAGTGCTCACCTCCCTGTTCCTCCGGGAAAGGGGTCTGAGAGCTCGGGGTGGGCATCCTGGAGCTCCCGCACAGGGCACTGCACAAGAAATGGCGACAACACTCCAAGCATTAGTCTTAGTGTTTTTCAAACATAAAGGCCGAGTTACAGACTAGTTAATTTTTGAACTGAAAGGCTTTTTAAAACTAGATCTAAAACTGTTTGAGCTATTGATTTTGCTTATTTCTAGACATTTTCTAATTTCTGTGTGTTTGATTAGCCATTACCTTTCTTACTCTTACCCTTCCCTTTTAGAAATACTGCTAATGAGGTTAATGGTCTGATTCCTGTTTACGGAAGGTACTGTCACAGACTAGACAGCATCTTCACCGTCCCAGGGAGCTGGTTAAGTGGGTGCTTCTGGCCGCAGGGGATGTGAGAGTGGAGGCTGCGGCCGTTCCTCCATCTGGACAGCCTCAGAGTTTCTATTGGAGCCTCTGAGAACCGCTCAGGCTGACTGAGTGCTCATTGCACGATAAATAGATTCTTTTCACTAAAAGGGAAAATGTAAGAAAATTATGTGTAGTAGAAGGGTTGAGAGCTGTTCAAGATCAGATGCTTTCGTAAGAAAATGCACATTTAAATGGTTTGTGATTACAGAGGAAGTATACAATAACTGATTAGTTCCAAACATTCTGAGTAATAATTTTTAGTCAAAGGGGGCAGTGTGTTTCATGTTGAAATTTTGTTCAACTCAACCTTAACGTGAAAGCAGGGCAGGGGATGGGCAGGTGTGGAGGGAGGAGGGCGCCCGCAGCAGAACCGCCTCTGGGAGGGCGCAGGGGCCTGGCCCGAGCACAGGCTGTCCCCGAACGCGGGCCTGTGATCTCATTCATTCATAATCGTTTGACAGGTTGGTGAGCACTTATTACAGGATGGGCACGGCTAGCTGCTAGTGAACAAAAGAGACACACGTTTAAGGCTCCTGCTCTCCTGAGCCGCAGTCGGCAAGTGCTGGTGACAGCTCTCTTGGCTTCTGTGGCCTGACCTCTGTCTTGTCTGTACCACCCTCCCCTCCCCTCCCCTCCCCCCCGGGGTGCACCTCATGCGTGCATGGTGGTTGCCCACATTTTCTCCCAGGTCTGCTCTCCCTTCTGTCGTCACTGGGAATAGCCCAGACTCTGGAGCCAGGCTGCTTAGCTTCACACCCAGCTCGGCCACGCCCTGTGGGTGGTCCTCCTCAGCCACGTGCCTTAGGCTCCTCCCGGGAAGTGGAGGTGGCAGAGGCAGCCCGGGTGGGGTTATGGTGAGGACTGAAGGCATCAGTGTGTGAAGCTCGGGGAACAGTGCTGGGCGTTGGCGACCGGACAGCTGCTGGCCGACGTTATCGTTACCTTCTCTGATTCTGTGGCCATTACTGTTGGGATGGCTCCCTAAGTCCCGCTCCGTCCTTTCCCCGGATCCACCCACCTGCTTATCCACTAGAAGGCTGGACTCCTGGGGAAAGTGTGACTCCAGCCTCCTCCTCACCAAGTGACAGAAGTCCCGGTTCTGGTTCTGCCGCCACACTCTCTGCTGGTGCTGGTTTTGTCCCTCCGACGCCTTGCTTCAGCCCAGGGCTGCCTGCTGCTCCCTGAGGCGTCTGTCCTGCTGTGTGCCCGCTGGTTTAGAAGGCGTGGGGAGGAAGGGAGGGCTGCCCTTGAAGAGGGCGGCGCCCACCAGGGAGGGGCTGTGCGAGAAGGTTTCTTGAGACAAATGAAGCGGCAGCCAGTCCAGGGGCAGAGCAGGTGCCTGCGGAGTTGGGCAGGACCAGGGGTCAGGCAGCGAGGGGCCTCACAAAGCACAGGCCGACTGAGGAAATACTTGGCAGCTAACCAGGACCTAAGTGTGTTTCGCTTTTTAAAATGAAAATTGGGAAAATCTAATGATATTTATGTTAATTAGGAAAAAATCAACATGCCAACACGTGGAGTAGTTTTAAATGCTGAAGTTCTACGAGGTGTAATTAGTATATTGATGCCTTATGTGTAAACGTTCTAATTTTCGCGGAATGTTTTAGGGTGCACTGGATCTGGCCGATGCGCATTCTCCACCACCGTCCCCAGAAGGAAAGCTGAGCGCGCACACGGGCCCCAGTAAGGTGAGTCGGCGGCTCGGACGGTCTGGCCCGGCACGCCAGCTCGGGTTCCTCCGTCCTACGCGGCACACTCCTGTTTAGTTTCTGCCACTGCTTGCTTCCTTTTGATGAAGTATAGAATTTTAAGCATTAATTATTTTGCTTTAGTTGGTAGTTTTTTAAATTTTGTGTAGTAGAAAGGAATACGCTATTAAATAAAAGTGTAGAATATCGGACTCATTTGGTACTTTGAACGTTACTTCTCATTTATAAGTTCCTAACTGGAGCAGGTTAGGCTCAGGAGTGTAGAGCGCTGTGTTAAATAATGTGGCTGGGTGACAGTCTGGGTTGTAAGCCTGACGGGTGTTGATGTTAATGGGCCGTTTTGAGGATTCGTAAGGTCTGTGCGCTTGGGCCATATTGGTGTGTGGTTTCGGAGTGGTTGAAGTTAGGGCCCTGATTCAGGGGTTTGATATCACAGAAAATGAGCTGGGTGGACACTCGAGTTCACAGTCCGGGTGTTTGTGCTGATGGCAAGTGTGTCTGGGGCTCGCTGGAGCAGAGCGCCCGCTGGAAGAGCCTGACCCACCAGAGGGTGGGTTTGCGCCGAGTGTGTGGGGACCGGCCTCTGGCCCCTCCCGGGAGCAGTCCAGAGTGTTCCCGGGGCAGCCGGGCTGGGAGAGGGGGTGACATGCTGCCGAGCTGCCGGACAGCTGCTTGTCGGGGGCCGAGACATGGGCTCTGGGGGGCTCCTGCTGCTGCTGGCTGTGGTTGGTCCTTCCTGTTGTCTGAATGTAGAAATGGAAGGGATTGGACGCGGGTTTCCAACCAGCAGAGGCCATTGTGCTGGGCCTGCTCCGCTCCCCGGGCCGCGGGCCTGCTCTGAGGGAGGGGCCTTCGAAGCTTTCCCTTGAGCTCAGGGCAAGTTCAAGAAGTCCCTCGGAGCGGAACTACCAGAGAGAAAAGCCTCCTTCAAAAGCTCTGCTTCCTGTGAGAATACCTGGCTTTCAGGGTTAACATGGACACAGTCCCACATCCTGACTAGTTAGTACCCAGCGCCTTGAGCTATTTCGCAGTTCCCTTTTGTAAGTGGTTACTTTTAAAGCAAATTAGCAGGACTAACCTTTCACATAAGGTATGTCTTCAAGATAAAGTACTCATGTCTGTTTTGCCTGTTCTTATTCTCTTTATAGAAATTGCTTTAGGGGTTAGGAATTATGGTGAGAATCGGACACTTTAAGTCAGTGAGGAAGTGTTGCTCTAAACCAGCGATGTTCCCCCTGTGAGCCGCAAGCACGGTTCCGCGTGCAGTGTGGGCACCGACCTCTCGCCTGCAGACTCAAATCTGAATGACAGCAGCCGACGCAGCATGGCCGTCCCCTGTGAACGAGTCTGAATGACCCAGTGTTTGGGGTCAGATTGGCAGACTCTCTGTGCTGCAGAGTTTTAGTGATTCGTCCGTGTGGGCCATGAGGGGAAGGGTTGGAAATCGCTGCTCTACACAGTCCCAGAGGAGTGATGGGGTTTCTGAGGTTGATCAGAGAACAGACCTGCAGGGCCCTCACTCCTCCACCTTCTGACTGTTTCCCGTGGAGCCTCTGGCCTCAGTCACCCCACAGGGAAACGCCGCAGCTCGTCTCTGCGGGGCCTGGGCTCAGGTGACTCCCGTGGTCCTCGCGGGTCTGGGTCTGGATGCCAATACTTAGGTCACCCTTTCCTCGCCGGCGTCCTTCTTTCTCTCGGTGCCTGAGCCATCAGGGGCTCTGGAAGGGCCTCTGCCTGCTGTCGCCCTACTCTGAGAGCCGAGGAGCCCCAGGGACTCTGGGACGGGTGCCCCAGTGCAGGGTCCCGCCAGCCCTGGGGGCCTGCTTTGTGCTCCTGAGCAGGGGGGCGGGGCCAGCGGCCCGAAAGGAAGCTGCTCAGGAGTTCAAGCCTGGCTTCTCCGCGCTGCTCCGTGCGCACAGAAGAGGACCTGTCCTCGCGGAGGGAGGGCTGTCCTCGCGGAGGGCGGCCTGTCCACGCGGAGGGCGGCCTGTCCACGCAGAGGGCGGCCTGTCCACGCGGAGGGAGGCCTGTCCTCGCGGAGGGCGGGCTTGACCAGTAACTGTTGGGCAGGGTGTTTAAACATGAGTTGAACCCCTTGAGTAAGAAAAGACTTAAAGAATTGGGTTTCCTAAAGGAACATATTATCTCCATTTTAAGGAAATTTTTTAATAGGAATCCTTTTTCGTTTGTTTATGAATTAGTTTATTTTGAAAGATTTATACTTTGTGGTAAAACGTCATTTTATTCTCATGCTCAGATACCAAGGTATAAAGGACAAGGTAAGAAGAAGACAAGCGGGCAGAAGTCTGGTGCCAAGGTAACATGCATGAGGGCAGAGGGACAGCAGCCTCGTGGGCCCTCGGGCCTGCAGCCCCATCGCGCGGGGTCACCTTCTTTTGAAATGTCACCCTCTTTTATCTGCAGTCAGGCGTGATAAAGTCCCGGTGGCATAAAACAAGAAGTCGTTGACTTTCAGTTTTATCCAGGTGAAAGTCATCTGTTACATTTTTAAACTGTGCTGTCAGTTTTATTTTGAGGATTTTTTGTTTTTTGGCAACAAAAAAAGTTGAAAATACTTTTTGAATGGATGGTCATGTACATATTCTTTACATGATTTTTATCTGAGGTCTGTAGGACATTGCACTACTTTTTGATACATTCCTATCGGTAAATTAAAGGCGAAACTTAGTTCCTTCAGGATGTTTGGTGTGCACAGCTGTGACCCCGCGCATGTGGCTCAGCCTCAGAGCCCCGAGAGGAGGGCGGAGCCCCAGCGCTCAGTGCCTGCTGCTGGCACTGCGTCCTCCCCAAAGATCACAAAAATGGCCCAAGCCCGTATACTGGCCCCTTTTAAATTTTAAATATTAGAGGTCCGAGAAGCAGTGTCAGTCAGTCAGTTCTTACGCGTGTGAGAATAAGCTGTCCTCTCTAACGTTGCCACATGTGGGGCTCAGAGTCCAGGGGAGCTTGGTTGAAGGAGAGATTCCCGAGGACGCGCTGTGCCGGCTGCCTTAGTTCTGCTGGCTCAGGGCGAATTCCTGCCATTTGTTCACACTATTTTTATGCCTTTCCATGTGAGATGTTTCAAAATGTTATTCACACGTATGTCTGAACATTTACATAGAGAAACTCATGTGTTAGGTGCTCTGGGCGAGACAATGACTGTGGTCCTCACTTAGTAGTCAATAGTTCACAGGGGAGTCGGAGAGGTGAGAGGTTAAGAACGTAAACCAGCATGTTTTCATAGATGCCTTTAGTCAGTGTCTCGGACTGAAGAGCATGCCATGGAACCGCACTTGTAGAACCTTGTTGGTGTCGTGGGTTTGAAGAAGTGGGCCCATCTGGGTCGTGGAGCAGCGCGGGGCCGAGGGGACTGAAGAGCCTGTGCGCCCGGCCCCGTAGCCCTGAGCCCCAGATGCTGCCTCCGTCGCTTTGAACCCTGCTTCCCTCTGCGTCCCTGGCCTTGTGTGGAGTCGCTTTAGAAGTCTGGGACCCAGCACCGTTGCCAGCGCACAGATGTCCTCCGCCCGCCATCCCTCTGCTTTCCGCTCTGCCTGTGCATGCAGGAGGTCCCCCCCTTAACCCCCTCCATCCTAACGTCTCACTAGCCCCACACCAAGCTGCATGCGGGTGTCATGGCGGGTGGACACAGCTGGCCGCCAGGGGGTGCCGTTCACATGCAGCCGGGCAGCACTTCCCACGGGCAAAGCCCAGAGAGTCGCCCTGCTGGTCCATGACCAGCTTGTGCAGGACCCCGAGTGGAGCAGCCAGAGAGCCCAGGGCACCCGGGCGCCCAGCCAGGCCTGCGGGGGTGCCTCGTGGCTGCTGTTGTGAGAAGGCCCGAGGTCCTATTACAGATGGACTTGTACAAAATCCTTCACTGTATATAAAACTGATGGGCACTTACTAGTGTAAGCTGTCAGAATGCAGAGCAAAACCTAAGGTTTTGACCTGATTGAACTTGGGTCAGATGAAAGTTGTATTTCTGGGTTTTGTGATTGCGGGTCAGTAAAGGGTGGACAGATGGTGAGTGGGAGGGCGTTCTTTAACGCGTTCACATTCTGCAGTTGATGCTGGTACTGACCCCCGCGTGTTCCCTGTTCACTGTGAACTTCTCTGTCACCTGAAGGGAGTGTCAGATCACAGCAGCCTTTGTAGCTCTACTCACTTGGGTTTTTACCACTCAGTTGGGAAAACTGAATATTAGATGGTTTTGTTTTTAATACTTAGAATAAAATTTTTTTTTATCTTCACATACGATATAATATAAAAGATCAGCCTTTTTATAATCAGTTTTCAAGTGTTTTTAAACTTGTGTATCAAGGTATTTTTTGCTTCAAGTTCTTTTAAAAAGGACCATTTCTTAAATCGTTGCTCCTTTTTTTTTTTTTTTTTAAATTCTGGAATAAGCCCAGCATCACGTTGATTTAGGGCCATGATGTGTGTGTGTGTGGTTGGGGTGGGGGGATGTTTCTGTGTCTATTACAGACACGTTGGTTTTCTAGATAAACCAAGCATTATCGTTCCCTTCACACACACACATCCATCTGAATGCAGGAGCACACATAGTGGGCAGTGTGCCCAGCACTCAGCCTGGCCAGCTGTCCACTCCTGGCTGCTTCAGACCCGAGCCCTGACATCTGGGCACCACTGTCCTCTGGACCCCGAGCAGCTGGCTGTTCAGGGCTGAGCGTGGAGCCGCTGTGCGGGCCGTCCAGTCTGGTTTCAAAGCCAGAGCGCTGGCTCCGTGCACCTGCAGGAGGTCCGGCTTGCGAAGGGAGCATGGAAATAGGTCTTCTCCAGGACCACTGAGCTTCTAGAATAACACAGTGTTTATGAATTAAACTTAGGGGTGTGTGTGTAAATGTGTGTGTGAGTGAGAGAGAGAGAGAGAGAGACAGACAGACAGATAGACATGCAGACAGCTGTAGTAAAATTTCCTAATTTATTAGTAAGTCTCGGGTCAGAATCTGCCTTTGGTGGGTTTGGGGAAGGAAGCTGGGGGATAAGCATGGGCAGGAAGAGAATTTGCATGAATTTTTTAAACTTGGAAACTTTATTTGGCTTTAATGTTTCTCTGTTACAAGCAGTTCAGATTAAGCCTTTAGTTTGGAAAAACTTTTTTTTTTAGTTCATAAGACATTCTAGTAATCAAGTTTTTGGTTATTATATTGTTAACACAGGCATGTCTAAGGGCAAAAAAAATCGATGAAGGACAGAATCATGTTAGGTTGTGAGGATCAGGGCCAACTGGAGACAAGGGAATACGTGCTGTTGCGTGCAGGCTGGGACAGGAGGGAGAGCGCTTGAGAGCCTTGAACATTGGTGTAGACGCTCAGGGGCTGACCTGTGTAGACGCTCAGGGGCTGGCCCGTGTAGACGCACAGGGGCTGGCACAGGGCGCCCTCTGAGGTCTGAGTGGAGGCCGGGGCTGCACCGGCGGCAGATCTCCACTTTAGACCCAGCACGCAGCTACGGGCCTCCACGTTGGTGTGCGGGTGTGCTGGGCCCTGGGCGGAACGTGCTGTGTTCACTTTGTTGTAATACTTGGTTCGTTTGTGTGAACTAACCTTCCTTTGCTTTCACGCTGCGAACATTGACTTACAGTAATTTACGGAGCAGGGATAGAGGTGTAAGAGGAAATGGGAAAGTCGTTTCTAAATGGAGTGGGCATAGCCAAGGGTTCCTTTAGGGCAGTGGTTCTCAACCTTCCTAAGGCTGCGACCCTTTAATACAGGTCCTCATGTTGTGGTGACCCCCAACCATAACATTATTTTCATTGCTACTTCATCACTGTCATGTTGCTACTGTTATGAATCGTCATGTAAATATCTGATATGCAGGATGTATTTTCATTGTTCCAAATTGAACATAATGAAAGCATAGTGATTAATCACAAAAACAATATGTAATTATAGATGTGTTTTCCAATGGTCTTAGGCGACCCCTGTGAAAGGGTCGTTCAACCCCCATAGGGGTCGCGACCCACAGGTTGAGAACCGCTGCTTTAGGGGGTGAGGAGTGGTGTCCCCCTGTTTCTCTGACATTTTCCCTGCGGTGCCCGTGCAGGAGGCCTGGGGCGAGGAGGCCTGGGGCGAGCGTGCAGCAGTTGCTCTGGACCTCCCGGCGTTCACTGCAAGCCCCTCCCACCGCCCCTCAGGGCCTCACGCACTCCTTCCCAGGGGGTTGCAGTTGTTCAGGACTCTATGATTTAAAGCACCTATTCCAGTTTTGTTTGACTAAGGAGACCTGTCTCCCTGACTTGTTCTAGAAGGCCGGCAGCGGTGCGAGTCAGAGCGATACGAGCGTCTCCTCGTCAGAACCAAAGAGCAAAGGCGGTCTCCACTTCCTGGCCCAGGAGACAAAAACGGGCGCTCTCCTCAGCAACAAGAGCCTGGACGTCAGAGACACAGCTGGCCCTGGTCCGCATGAGGATGACCTGGACGGAGATTCCTTCTTTGACGATCCCATTCCCAAACCCGAAAAGACTTACGGTTGGTGAGTCCACTCTTTTAGGTTATCAGGATAGAGGCTTACAAGGCACTTTCACAGCGCTGTATATACCATTAAGAACAGCGAGCTGCTAAAGGCTCATACTTATTAGACACACGAGTCCGATTTGTGTGATCCAAGCCTTCGATGTGGTAATGCGTCCAGAGTGAGGAAGCCTGGGTGTTCCGACTCCCGCAGCAGGGGGTCCTGAGCCTCGCGTGTGCCAGCCACGGTCGGAGCTGCAGGGCGCAGGCGCCATACGGGCACAGCCCTGCCCCTCTGCTCTGAGGGAGACTGGACGCTGGAGCGGAGCAGCAGAGTGGCTGGGTCCCCAGGCACTGTCTCAGGTCCTGGCCACCAAGTTGCAGGCCTGGGTGCAGGTCTCCAGGCGCGGAGTGGCGGGGTCGTCCGCCCCGGAAGAGGTGAGGGAATGGTGAGGAGGAGGAGACGGGCGTGACCTGAATGGGAGCGTAAGGATGGGCTCAGGGAGCAGTGGCTCCCGGGGGAGTTCCGGGTTTCCAGGCCGAGCACCGGGAAGGCAGAACCGCCCTTTACTGAGCGGAGGGGTGGGGAGAGCAGGGCGGGCCGACAGGTGTGGGCCAGGGGATAGGAGAGGGCTCCGTTCCCACTTGCTGGGTTGGAGAAGATGGTCACGGGAAAGGTGAGATGGGTGAGGGCCGGGTGCGGGGAGCTCTGGCTGGATGCGCGTTAGGGACGCCGCCTGAGGTAGCGCAGAAAGCTGGGCACCTGCCGGGGTCACCAGGCCGTGGGCACTGCAGCGTCTCCAGGTCAGCCCGGAGAGGAGCCTGGAGCAGGGGGCTGGCCACGCAGCGGCATTTAGCTCTGAAAACCTGCCTCTGCGTGCAGCAGCTGGAGGCCGCGGATGGCCGTGACGGTCGGTTTGGTCAGATGGTGGCATTGGGGCCGTGCTGATGGGTCCGAGTGGCTCAGGAAGGACAGGGGAGAGGGCTGTCGGTGGTGAACACTTTCTTGATGAGTTTTATAGGCGGGTGCAGAGGAACGGGTGGGGCTGGAGGGCGGGGTGTGGGGTTAGGACCTTACAGCGGGAAAATGAGCAGCATGCATGTACTAGTATGTGGATGAGAACGGTCCTGGGTTTTTGTTTGTTAATCCTCACCCGAGGATATTTTCCCATTGATTTTTAGAGAGAGTGGGAGGAAGGGAGAGAGAGACAGCGATGTGAGAGAGACACATCGATTGGTTGCCTCTGCACGTGCCCTGACCAAGGCTTGGGATGGAGCCTGAAACCCAGGTATGTGCCCTCGACTGGAATCAAACCCACGGCCCTTTAGTCCACTCGCTCTATCCACTGAGCCAAGCTGGCCAGGGCGAGAACAGTCCAGTTCCCAAGAGGGAAGTTAGTGATGTCGGGGACAGGGTTTCTGGAGAGCTGCACTTGAGTGCCCAGGGCCTTCGTCTGCGCTGGAGGGTGGGTGTGATGGTAGGAGAGCTTCTGAGAGAATCACAAGCAGTGAGGAGGAGGAGCAGTGGGATGTCACACAGAGTTGGGGGAGGGGTGAGCGGTGTCTCCCGGTGCCGCCTCGCCCTCTGGTGCTGTGCATTCTGTGTGTTCTTCATGTCGTGTGAGATCTGCTGGCGCTGCTCTGTGCCTGGACAGAGGCCAGAGCGCCATTGACTGCGCTTGTTTCCTGTTAGGAGAAGTGACCCTGGGAAGCCAGGAGGGAGCCTCACCTCGCTCGCCGACGCCCCATCCTTGAAGAGTGGCCTCGGCTCCCTGCCGGGGGCCCCCTCCTCGAAAGACTCGGAAGGTGAGTGCTGGCTGCAGAGGTGGCACTGGATGCTGTATTTCTCTCTAGCTCACTACAGAGCATTTGATCATTGCTTATTTTTTCAGAAAAATGTATTTAAAATCATAAAAACAGCCCATAACATTACCATTCAGAGATAGATTCTGTTAATACGGAGTTCTATTTGTTGATTTTTTAAGATATGGTCTGTATTCCGCTTTTCCTATGCCATCAAAATACTATTAGTTGACATTTTAGCTGTCTATCGTGCTATCCTATATAATAAAAGCCTAATATGCTAAGTGTCTGGTCGTCCAAAGTGTAATATGCTAATGATATGCTAAGGCTGCTCAACTGCTCGCTATAACGTGCACTGACCACCAGGGGGCAGAAAGTCGACCAGTCGCTATGACGTGCACTGATCACCAGGGGGCAGACACTCTGACCGGTAGGTTAGCTTGCTTCTGGGGTCCGGCCAATTGGGACTGAGTGACATGGGCCTGACATGCCCTGGAGCCCTCCCATGGTCCCTCTCCAGTTGGCCAACCTCCCGTGTCCCTCCCCAGCCCAGATCGTGCACCGGTGGGGTCCCTTGGCCTGGCCTGTGCCCTCTCGCAATCTGGGACCCCCTTGGGGGATGTCGGAGAGCCGGTTTTGGCTCGATCCCGCAGGCCAGGCCGAGGGACTCTACTGGTGCATGAATTTGTGCACCGGGCCTCTAGTAGAGGTATATTTTAAACCATCTCTCTTGGACATTTAGATTGACTCGAGTAGGATTTAATTAAATTCATTTTCAAACGTGTCTTGTAGATTGTGTGGTGCCACAGTGATCATCTCAGGGTGTGAGGGGGATTTGGACCTGGTGTGTCCCGTACATCAGGGACAGGGACTGCAGTGCAAGGAATGCCGGGCTGCCCACACATTCCACCCCGCCTCACCCACCTGCCTCACACGGTGCAGGCCCCAGCGCTCAGACACGGAGCTGTGGGGATGAGCTTGGGCCCTACGTCACAGGGACAGAGGGTCTAATCAGCACAGTGTTAGAGTATACCTGGGCCTCTTCTGAGTGAGTTTTCTAAAAAGTGGGTGAGCTCTGTGTGAGGGAATCCACTGTGATGTGCACCATTTTGCATTCCATGGTACAGCTGTCGGGTATCCCAGGACACCAGGTGTTCTGTGGTTCTCCTGCCCATCTGGTCAGCTGGCCATGGACCTGAGACTGTGGCCCTGTCCCGCCCCTTCCTCTTCTTTCCCATGGTCACTGTCACCTTCAGTGAAGGGCCCATAGGTCAGAATGGGTCACTCTGTTTTTTTTTTTTCTTTTTCACTCACCCATTTATCTACCCACTCACCCATTCACCCATCCATCCACCCATCCTTCCATCCTTCCATCCATCCATCCATCCATCCATCCATCCATCTATCTTTCCATCCATCCTTCCATCCATCATCCCTGGTCACTCTTTTTTTAATATACATATATTTTTATTGATTTCAGAGAGGAAGGGAGAGGGAGAGAGAGAAATATCAATGATGATAATCATTGATTGGCTGCCTCTTGCACGCCCCCTACTGGGGATCAAGCCCGCAACCCACACATGTGCCCTCGACTGAAATCGAACCTGAGACCCTTTGGTCCGCAGGCCAACGCTCTATCCACTGAGCCAAACCAGCTAGGCGGGTCACTCTTAATGCTGATTAGGAAGGAATGATTTAGAGAGAACATTGAGGGCTAAGGGCTGAAGAAGTAAAACCAGTAAGAGGTGGTCCGGTTGGGAAATGAAATAGTGATTGACTCGATGGAAAATGTAGAGGTCAAGGGAAATAATATGACAGAATGACTAGTCTGTGCAGTCACACCCAGAGGGGCGCCATCCTATATCCTATATAATAAAACCCTAATATGCAAATTGACCAAACGGGGGAACAACCGGTTGCTATGGTGCGCACTGCCCCCCCCCAGAGGAAGGCGACAGGTGGGGGTGGGGGTGGAGCTGGCCAGCAGGTGGCACCAGGCCACCAGCCAAGGTGTGTGCCAGCGGGGGCTCCCGATCGCCCTGCCCGCCGGTCACCCCACAGATGGCCCTGATCACCTGCCCGGCCTAGGGACCTGACCCTATCTAGTGGGAACAGTCTCTTAGATTTCAAAATTAAGGCCTGGCGAGGCCACTCTAACACTGAAGAAACAGGATGATGCACCAATTACATGCATGGACTCTGGCTTGCACATGTTGTGGTCAGCCCTGATTCTGACACTTATAACTGTGTGACAAAGCCAATTACTTAACTTCTCTCTGCTCCAGTTTCCACCCAGATGGGGAAACCATAAGATGGGGAAAATGGTACTACTGCCTCAGAAGGATCACGTTATGTACTGCTTTTTATAATCAGGGCAAAAAAATGTAGTTGCCCATACAGCAGCAAGATGCCTTTCACCGGTATGAAAAGTATGGTCACTGGTGCATGCAGCGTCCTGGATTGGGAGAGGGATGTCCGACTGCCGGTTTAGGCCCGACGTCCCCTGGGGGGTCCCCAGATTGCAAGAGGATTCAGGCCAGGCTGAGGCCCCCCCCCCCCCCCGCACAAATTTCCTGCACCGGGCCTCTGGGAAGAAAGAAGTGGGCAGAAAACACTGTCAGGGTCAAGTTATAGCAAAGAACTGCACTCAGCAGGCATTAGTCACACTGTCGTTTTCTTCTAGTTGAGAAAGCTGCTGTTGTAAAGAAGCCCGTATTCTGGGGGCAGAAATAATGGGCATGTTTAAGAAACGGTTGCATTCTAAACGTTGATTTAATGCAGATGTGTTTTCCTGTTCACAGGCAAAAGGGGAAACGCGGTTCTGAAAGATCTGAAGGTGGTGAATGATAAAGTCGCATCCCTTGGATTAGGTAACTTGACAGCCAGTTTAGTGTGGAATGCTCGGAGGCGTAAGTGACTGGATGTGGGCAGCCGGCGTGAGCACCTCTGGAGTGCATGCTGGCCTGGCCCGCCTGCCTGGGCTCACTCCACGGGCCGGGAGCCTAGCAGCAGCCACGACAGGCTCAGCTGACTCTTCTGCCACTCCAAGTGTGCAAGGCGTTCACGCCCACCTCCCGCCAGAATGCAGCCGCACCCGCTGAGCCTGTCGTGGCCTAGGCCTGCAGCTTTCTGACATCCCCCGAGGGGTCCCGGATTGCAAGGGGGCACAGGCCAGGCCGAGGGACCCCACCAGTGCATGATCGGGGCTGGGGAGGGACCGCGAGAGGACTCCAGGGTGTGTCCGGGCCCATCTTGCCCAGTCCTGATCAGCTAGACCCCAGCAGCAAGTTAACCCCGGTCGGAGCGTCTGCCCCCTGGTGGTTAGAGCACGTCATAGTGACTGGTCGAACAAACGGTCGGACACTTAGCATATTGGGCTTTCATTATATAGGATAACATGTATCTCTCCCTAAACTTACCAGGGGCTGGAGAAGATGATGACTATGTGGATGACTTCAATAGGTAAGAAAAACAGTTGGACAACAAGATACACATTCTAAGCACTTTCTGGACACAGGAAAGGGACAGGATCACACTGGTGCACTTTAGTGGGCGTGGTCCCTGTTCAGAGTGACGGGGTGGGGTGGGGGTGGGGGGTGATCCAGAGCTGCACGTGGCCTGGAGGCCTGGGTAGATTCCACATCAGGATGTGCGTGTTCAGGAAACTCAGGAGAATGAATGGAAGTAGCTGAAGAACTGCGTCCAGCACCAGGCCTCCCTAGGATGAGGGCCCTCCCCTCCTCCCCCCCCGCCTCTCCTCTCCCCTCATCTCCACTCCCCCTCCACCCTCCTGGCCTCGTGGGAACCGCCCACATCTACCTGACACCCATGGCCCTCACATGATCTTTCTGACTCGGGTGACATGTACATGGGGTTACAGGAGTTGGTCAGTCATTCATCCGGACGTGGCATTTGCTGTGGATATGATGAGAAATTTTAAATCAGAGGCTGCGAGTCTTATGTACTCGGCAGAGTCTTCTCTCCCAGGGAGAAGTTATGTCTGTAACTGAACGATGGGTGAGGTTTGGGGTTGCTTTTTTGAGAGGCAGCTTGGACCTTACTTTTCTCGTCTGTCCACCTGACTGGCCCTGCTGCCTCGCAAGGGTTTTTTTTTTTTTTTAATATATTTTATTGATTTTCTACAGAGAGGAAGGGAGAGGGATAGAGAGTTAGAAACATCGATCAGCTGCCTTCTGCACACCCCCTACTGGGGATGTGCCCGCAACCAAGGTACATGCCCTTGACCGAATCAAACCTGGGACCCTTGAGTCCGCAAGCCGACGCTCTATCCACTGAGCCAAACCGGTTAGGGCTCGCAAGTGGTTTTAAGGGTCAAGTAGATCGTGTATGAAGCTGATAGGATGTGATATTTTATTTAAGGGTTAAAGTAAGTATTGAAGAGGCTGAGGCAGTAGTTACCTTCACTGTTCTTCTCTTTCCCTTGAATTAGCACCAGCCATCGCTCAGAGAGAAGCGAGCTGAGCATCGGCGAGGAGATCGAGGAGGACCTGTCAGCGGAGCTGGACGAGGCCAACACCAGCGACAAGGTCGGGCAGAGCGTGGAGGCGCGGGCCTGGGGCTGCCTCGGTTCACGTGCAGCTCTAGGCACTTACACAGACGAGGGAAACAGCTGAAAATGGTGGGAAATCGATGGCAGATTGACCTGGTTCAAGTCTGGAAAGAATCTTTAGTGAGGATGTGAGATGGTTTCCGCTGTCACTCCCTCTGTAACTGATGAGGTGCTTTGGGGGGTCGGTGTTACCGGGCCTCACTGCTGGGGTCTCAGTGGCCCAGGGGTCAGGGCTGGGTCGGACCGACCCTTGGGGTGTGGGCAGTCGGTGCAGGAGGAGCCGTGCTCAGAGAGGACACCACGCAGGTTGGTGTGAGCGAGCCTGAGAGAGCAGGGGGCGCAGCTGGGGCTGCCTGTGGTGTCAGGCTCTGCACAGCAGGGCGGGGGCCACACACCCGGGGAGACGGCGCAGCGGCAGTGGAGCCGGGGTAGGACTGGGGTCTGCATTGGGTTCCACATTGAGCCTTCGGTTCGGCAGAGAACAGGATGCACGTACATGTGTGAGGTGGCGTCTCGGGATCGCATGTTGGTGCCGAGAGAGCTGCGGGCGTCTCTCGTGAGCCTGCCTTCCCCACGAGCGTGCCCTCTGAGCGCCGTGACCTTTGCCCTCTGAGCGCTGTGACCTTTGCCCTCTGAGCGCCGTGACCTTTGCAGAGGATTGCAGCAGGAGGTCTTGGGGCGAGGGAGGCAGCATTTGCAGTGAAGACAACACTTCTGCGCTGCAAACCTGGGCTTGCGCTCGCCCTGCCTGCCCTGCTTTCTCAGCGAGCTCTCGGGCCGTTCACCTGTCAGCTCAGCGCCCGTGCGTGCGCACGGGTTTCAGAGCAGGAGGAAGGGCGGGCGCGGGGGCTGCTGGGCGCAGTGGGGGCCCGAGGTGATCCTCGCGGTGCAGCACCGTGTTTGAAGAGATCTGAGACTGCGCGCTGACTGACGCTCATCTGTCCTCTGTCTGAACAACAGCTCGACGACCTGACGCAGGACCTGACCCTGTCGCAGCTCAGCAACGTGGCCGACTACCTGGAAGACGTCGCCTTCACCTGAGGGAGGAGCGTCGCCACGGCCGAGGACGGACGGAGTCTCCCACCACCTCTGTCTCCCAGGCCGTCCTGGCTGGAGTCTGCTCTGCTGGTGCCTTGTGTTTCAGAATGACTGCAGAGATTTTTAAAAATTACTTTTCATTACACTAAACAGAACCCTCCCTCGGAGCCCACGCGTGGGAGGTTTCCGTCTTAATCTGGTTACCTGCCCGTTTCACTCAGAAATGAATTCCGCTCAGATGCCTGACAGGAGCGCACCGTGAACATAGCAGCGTTAGAGCAAAGCGAAGGCATCAGTAACGCTGCAGGCCCCGGGCTCGCGGGCACGCGTGGCCTTGGTCCTCTAGGTCCCGCCTGGTTGGTGCTGGCAGGGCTGCAGTCGTGGCAGAAGGATCGGCCGCCAGAGCCCAGCCCTGGGTGAGACGCTTCCGTCCGGGAGGTGCTGTGGCAGTGCTTTGCTGCTAGCTCTTCCTCCTAAAGAGCGGGGTGGTGGGGTTCGTTGGTGCGGTTGTCATGGCGCCGCTGTCATGGCGGCAGCGCATCGCTGCTGTGTCCACACGAGAAGCCATCCTCGCAGGCCCTCTGAGAGCTGTTACCCTCTGTGACCCCGTCTTGAAACTTTAAATTCCAAGGCACATCTGGACCAGCAGCGGTGCTTCCATCGGGCCTGTGCGTGACTATGGGGTCCAGATGGGATGGAGCAGGAGCTACGGCTCAGACGTGTCCAGGGGCAGCTTCCTGCTGCTGTTCCACCGTCACCTTAGTGTTTACAGGGGCCACTGAGGCCCATGGTACTGACTGTGGCACGGTTGGGAGTGACGCGTGCCTGTTCGTATAACTATAAGTGAAGCTGTGATTGCATGGTCAGTTTTGTACTTTTTTATTTCAATTAAATGATGGCTTTTACTAAAAGTCACCTTTACCAGTAAGAGGAGAAATTAATTCATTGACCTCAGTAGGGGCAGACTCGATGGTCAGTGTGTGCTGCTCTCCTTTTATCTCAGCCTCACGGTCACAGGAACACTGGCGGCCCTGACGTGGAAGGGGGTGATAGCATGAGGATCAGGTTGTAGAACATGGGAATTTGCATCTGTAAATTCAGGTGACACTGAGCCATAAACGCCAGCAGAAGCTAGGACAGCACACGGGCCGGCAGCCTGGACGCGCTGTCCCGCCCTCTGAGTGTGGGGCTGTCGCTGGCGGCCTGGTGCCGCCATTGGTGCGCTTCCCATGTCTGTGACGTCGCTGCGAAGCTTCCATCTGTCTGCCCTCAGGAACCAGGCAGCCGTGTGACTTGTTAGTTCCGTGCTTGGTGGGAGCTGGATGTCGGTGGCATGGAAGGACCGCAGGAAGTGGCTTTTACCTTGGGAGGACCGTTTGGACAGTTGACCTGAAATGTGTCCATGTGAC